AAAGTTGACTAGTAAGAGATTACGATTCAATAAGACACACTCTCCTTAATCCTTACCTAAATCTCATACGTGGTCATTGGAAGAAATTTGACCGTCAAAGTTACTCAAAAAAATTCAAATGTACGTACTTCTTAAGTGTTACAGTACAAAGTATTTAAGTATTCCGTGGAATTGTGAAAAACAAAGTGAAAAAAACATGACAGTATATGATTGTAGTCGGGGTGACAATTATAGCTTCATACAAAGCAAATTTATTAGATTACTTTGTATCTAAATAATTGAATAATTTGTTGCACTTGAGATGACACTTTCAAGTAGGGATGCTTTTAATATTCACAAAACGATCGAGTGACTCACATTACCAAACATTCTATCAACTTTCAACTTGGACCCTAATTTATCAACAACTTTTGTTTTTTTATATACATTTTGTGTACAATAAGCTAACAAAAGAAAAACAATAAGGAATCAACCCCTTGAACAACTCCGTTGCGAAACACCCAACCATCCAATTAATCTAAAGGAGCACCGCAAATTCGCGATTTCATAGGTGGACGAGAGGAACATCCGATACGTAAGAGAGACCCTCGAAATCACGTTCACCATTCTTAATCATAATTTGTAACCCACAAACCCTTGCACATGCTTAATAGCTTTAACATAATTTTCCTCCAAGGTCTCTATACTATATTTTGAGGTCGAACTCGTGTCATTAAGCCTATGATCTCCTATGTAGAACTGTAAGAAGGATAAAGAAGGAGTACTTTCGCGGCTATACATAGCATTGGAGATTGGATATAACGAATTCGAGTAGCGAGGAAGACATTGAAGGAAGTTGTCGATGGCCGAATTCGAGGCGCTTACATGAGACGTAATCAAGAACAAGGCAAGAATTGTTGTAACGAGAAAAAAACGAGTATAGGAAGAGTTTGAGAAGTTCATATTATTAAGTGGTTTGAACTTTGAAGTATTATAATTTATAAGGGTGAGTGGATGTTATATAGTGGTATAAAAGATAAGATTAGGTGCTCTTTTTAGTAGATAGTCGTAAAAAAAAGACTAAATGTGGTAGGTTGGTGAAGAATTGAAAAAGGTTCAAAGTAGGTGATTAACGAACGAATCTACTACTTCTTTGGCCGACAACTCAAAAGTTTGACTTTTATTTTGTCATATGGGTTTATTTTATACTATATACTTTCTCAGTTTTTATTTAGTTGACACGTTCAATTTAGACACACATATTAAGGAGATGAGAGAGAGTGAGAGAGAATGATAAAGCAAGTGGGGTATACTTAAAAAGCAAGATATAAAGCATATCTAAAAAGGAAACGTGTCAACTTAAAAAAAACATTCTAAAAAGGAATATTTGTCAACTAAAAAGAAACAAAGATAAATATTTTTTTAAAGTTATTAATGAAAATTTCTAAAATAAGTAAAATTTGTGAATGATATGATAAGTTTGTTTTTCTTTCAACGTAAGATTATTGCACAAACGTCCTTATCAATAATCTCTTTAGTGAATAAATTTGATTTTCTTCACCTAATTCTTAATATTTTGTACAAATTTCCTTAGCAATAATATTTTATACCGGATATATATATTTGTAAGTTTAACCTCGGGTCCTCATCTTTGGGTTACATTCGAATCTTAATTCAGCTAATTGACTGTAAGTCTACTTCTAACATGAGAGGAGTCTGAATGGTTGTGAACATAAGTAGAATAAGTGACTATATAGGGTTTTTATAAAAGGAGCTCTACACTTTAGTATTTCATCATTATATACAAAGTAAAAAATACGAAGTATGTAGTTATTAATGGCCTGGTTAGATGGTTGGCTTTTGTGAATTTTTTTCCTTGTTTGACAACGCTTGGTTTTTGCGAGGCACCATTAGTGATCCCACTAGTCTAACTAACTTTTAGTTTCTTATGATAAAATTGTTAATTTCATAAAGTTTAATTTTGTTGTTAATAAAATCATGTCTTCTTCAAAACAATAAATTAAGGGTCTTTTTTTTTTTTACAACGTCATGTTATTTTAATATTGCACAAAGTATTGTCAAGAACTCATGATTGGCATTTTCAACTCTGTATCTAAGAGAAACAAAAAAAAAAGAAAAAAAAAAAAGAATATGATACATACTCCAATTTATTTTGTTTTACTTTTGCACTATTCATCTGCATATACACCATCTTTTTAACCAATTTGGTGCTTAATATATAAGATTAATACTCATGTTGATATTAGTAGAATGGTCTCAATGCATTGATATTTAATTTGCGGGATAAAAAATAGAGTAAAAAAATTCAAATTTGAAGTCAACGGAATTGTTCTTATTGTCAATTTGTCATTTTATATGACGTTGCATACTTGCATGGTTCTATATCCTGTATTCCTGTACACTCTCGTAGTACTAATGTACTATAATACGTCACTTAATCACCAAGTAATAGGCCATTATTTTATGTTACTTAAATTTAATTAATACAACTTGTTGCACTAATAACCAAGAGTACATGTTACATGAATAAAATCAAATTCTAACACAAAACGAAGTACATACTAGTATTACGTAAGAGATCATTAAAACAAGTATAAAACATGTTGCACACACATTATTTTAAAACTATGGATTAGCATGTTACATGCAATGAATCAAATCAAACAATACAATCAAAGTAAAACAATCTCCTAAATTCATGAAAGCTAATTATAAACCAACAACGATCTTCTTAATCCATCAAGCTAGGTAACTAAAATAGGAATGCTTTGTTCATATCTGAAAAAATTGCTCGGATCAACCTTGGCCTTAACTTGCAACAATCTCTTCACATTACCCTTAAAGAAGTCCTTAGCAAATTCTAAGCTCCCATTTTTGTTTGTCCCAATATCAATATCCCTATAGTTTAAGTATGCTTCCCTTGGGTTCCTAGACACAAAAGGAGTTAATCTAGCAAGCATATAGATCTCGAATCGATTCAATATTCCTTCTTGTAGCCTCAACACTATCATCTACCCAAGTTGCAAGATATTGCATCTTAAATATGTTTCCTGCTCTATGAGGAAACGCCGTTGCATTCTCTTGAATCTCATTCATCCTCACACCATAAGGATTCCATTGAAGAAATATATTTTCCAACTCGATCATCTTTTTCCATAACATCTCCAACCCCGCCCTTGGAATTGGTGTTTTTACATAATCGGACTTGTGCTTCCAATATGAGTGAGGCGGTGTAGGTGTTCGTTCCAATAGCACCTCAAGAGGATTTCCGTTGCCTATAAAATAAGATACAGTTGACTCTACCCATGACATTTCTGTGAGATCTTGTGCTTTTAATTTCAAAAGAGGAAATCTCTTGTTTACTAATGTAACAAGTGATCTTGCACGTCCGAGGTATAACCCTGAAAATGAAGTTCGTATTGTCTTGTTACATTCTTGTTTATATACCATTGGTTGCATTCTAATGAAAAGGTTTCTATCGATTGTAGAAGTCACTTTTGCCACTGAAGAACTATATCCGTAGCACCTTCTTCTAAAGTCCTTGGAACATCAAAACGTGTAACGATTTTTGGTACACGTACTAATTTGATTTTCCATGAAATAACAACACAAAAGCTTGCTGCACCACCACCCCTAATGGCCCAAAAAAGATCTTCACCCATGCTTTTGCGATTGAGGATTCTACCATGTACATCGACAACTTGTGCATCAATAACATTATCGATGGATAAGCCATATTTTCGTAACATGTTCCCATAGCCTCCCCCGGTAAAATGGCCTCCAATACCAACGGTAAAGCATACTCCTGCAGGGAAGCCATGGACCTTACTCTTTTCGGAAATTTTATATTATAGCTCACCAAGAGTTGCACCGGCTTGAACCCAAGCAGTCTCTTTTGGTATGTCAATATCAATTGATCGAAGGTTGAACATGTCTAGGACAACAAAAGGAACACGTGCAACGTATGAGAGGCCTTCATTATCATGGCCTCCACTTCTAATCCTAATTTGTAAGCCACTTACTTTTTCACATATCACGGTTGCTTGGACATGGGATACATCCAAGGCCGTGACTATGGCTAGAGGCTTCGGGGTAGATGATGTGTTAAACCTACTCTCCCGTATGTAGGCTTGAAGAACTTGTAAGAAGGAAGGGTTGTTACGAGTGTAGATTGCATTAGAGATTGGAATTAATGGATTCGAGTGAGATGGTAGACATTCAAGAAAGTTATCAATGGATAAACATGAAGCTCTAATATTTTTTTTTTTTGAATAGTCATGAAGCTCTTATATGGGAAACAAAAAACATGGATAGAAGTAGAGATAGTAGTATGTTAGAGTATAGGGCCATTTTCTATATCTTTGTTGCTTGTCTAATGATGACTAGTTGGATCTAGTTAATACAAATTTTCGCGGTGAATGAAGCCAGTAATTACGGAAGTCGCAATGTATAACGGATTAGTAAAATTGAATTGCTGATTCTTGGATGGATTTGATGTATTTAACTAATATAAAGTCGTTGTAAATTTGTACCAAATTAATCAGTAATAAGGATGTTTCAACTACCGATTAGTTAAGCAAAGTTTAATTTGTATATTATAAACTCTCATCATGCATGGAAGCAATACACTCATTAAGACCCTTGTTTTTTTTTTTTTTTTTTTTTTTTTTTTTTTTTGGTGAAGATCAATTTATCAATGTTTAAGGAATCCAAAAATCATGGGCAGACTTTTGAATAGCTATATACGAAGTATAAAGTTTGGTATTGACTAATTTGGGCCTTTAATTTTGATGTCAAATATTTATTAGATAAATCCATAAATAATAAGATACTACTTGTCTACTTATACTAACAATGATGTTTATCCGGGCATTATCAATTGGTTTTATTAGTGCAACATGTTGCACGCAAACACAGACCACATGTTACATAAATAATCAATTAAATAAAACAATGAATATAAAGTATGATATTCAATATGTTAAATCTTTCTAATTCATCTAGCTAACTATAACTGGAATACTTTGTTCATACCTGAAAAAATTATGAGGATCAACCTTAGCCTTAACATGCAACAATCTCTTAACATTGTCCTTAAAAAACTCCATAGCAAAATCTAAGCTCCCATTTTCGTTCGTCCCAACATCGATATCCCTATAATTCCAGTACGCTACCCTTGGGTTAGACACATAAGGAGTAAATGTAGCATGAAGATCTCGAATGGCTTCGATATTCCTACTTGTAGCCTCAACACTATCATCTTTCCATGTTACTAGGTATTGCATCTTAAATATGTACCCTGATCTATGAGGAAACGCGGTTGCATTCTCTTTAATCTCGCTCATCCTTCCACCATAAGGATTCCATTGAAGAATAATTACATGATTTTCTAACTGGATCATCTTTTTCCATATCTTCTCCAAGCCTTCCCTTGGAATAGGCGAATTTACATAATCGGACTTGTGTTTCCAATACGAGTGGGGCGGTGAAGGTGTTCGTTGCAATAGCACCTCAAGAGGATTTCCGTTGCCAATATAATAAGATACAGTTGATTCTACCCATGACATTTCATTAAGATCTTGTTTTTGTAACCTTAAAAGAGGAAATTCCTTGTTTATTAATGTAACAAGGGATTTGGCACGTCCAAGATATAGTCCTAGAAACGAAATTCGTATTGTTGTGTTCCCTCCTTGTTTCGATACCATTGGTTGCATTCGAATGAAAAGCTTTTTGTTAATTGTAGAAGATACTTGTTGCCATTGAATAACAATATCAGTAACACCTTCCTCTAAAGTCCTTGCAACATCGAAAAACGTTACAACTTTAGGTACACGTACTAATTTGATTTTCCATGATATAACAACACAAAAGCTTGCTGCACCACCACCCGTAATAGCCCAAAAAAGATCTTCACCCATACTTTCGCGGTTCAAAATTCTACCATTTACATCGACAACTAGTGCATTGACAATGTTATCGATAGATAAGCCATATTTTCGTAACATGTTACCATAGCCACCCCCACTAAAATGGCCTCCGGCGCCAACAGTAAAGCATAATCCTGCAGGGAAGCCATGGATCTTACTCGTATTGCCTATCTTATAATAAAGCTCACCAATAGTAGCTCCGGCCTCAACCCAAGCAGTCTCACTTGGTATGTCGATATCAATGGATCGAAGGTTGAACATGTCTAGGATAACAAAAGGAACATGTGCAACGTATGAGAGGCCTTCATTATCATGGCCTCCACTTCTAATCCTAATTTGTACGTCATTTTCTTTTGCACAAATCACGGTTGCTTGGACGTGTGATACATCCAAGGCCGTGACTATGGCTAGAGGTTTCGGGGTTGATGATGTGTTAAACCTACTCTCATGGATGTAGGCTTGAAGAACTTTTAAGAAGGAAGGGTTGCTACGAGTGTAGATCGCGTTAGAGATTGGAAATGATGGGTTTGAGATCGATGAATAGTGAAGGCAGTCAAGAAAATCATCAATGTTTGAATATGAAGCTTTGACATTGTAGCCAAAAAAAAATGAATACAAGTAAAATAAGAATAATATTTGAGGCCTTCATTTTATTGTTATATATTGGAGTATGTTTTTTTGGTTTCTTTTGTTTCCTGCTTCATTCCACTTTATTAACTTGTTAGATCTATTTTACACAATATAATTAATTGTAATGTTGAAGATATTAATAATGGAGCTCGTATTGGATGATTTATGTTAGTTACTTAATTTGAACTGGTGGTCCTAGTGAAGATGCTCGATAGATATAATTGATTAAATTAAATAAATGCGATGCAGATTTATAATTTTTTATTAATCCTTAATAAAGATGTTCCAACTATCTACTGTCAATCTGATACATTTAGCAAGGTGTGTATAATTGTATATTATAAACACTAATCATCCACATCACAGCAAGTCATCAATGTATATGAATTGTGCATGCCAATAAAATGTACTACGTATATGATTTGATGTGATCTGTACAAGCTTGTTTATTACAAAGTATTCCGTATTTTTTCGGAGTAGGATATAGGAATTAAATAGGGATTTAAAGAGGTTTTGAATAGTCCAAAGTTCCAAACTATTATATAGGCAAGGGAGGATCAAGCGGGGATTCATGGGGTTCAATTGAACCCCATTAGATCTAGAAAAAAAAATGGGAACTTTATTTTTAAAAAAAAAATTAGAAAAACAATAAATAATATTCGAAACAAATATATACTTCCTCTATTTTTTTTTTTTTTCAGTTGATACATTTCTATTATTACGTTTGTCAACACATGTTTATAATGATTCGTAATTTTTTCCTCTGTAATTTAATGGGTAAATACAAGTTAATAATTAAATTATATCAACTGTTGTTATTAGCTGCTCGCAAAATTATTAATTTTACATATTTATTTAGGATTTTTTGTGAAAAACTACCTTTTATATACAACTTTTTGTGAAAAATTACCTTTTAAAAAAATGTTGTAAATGACTACCTCTTTTTAAAAAAATGTTGTAAGGGACTACCACTTGTCGGAATGTGGCCGTTGACTCACTTTTCCGGCGTTGACTAGACCACGTGGCGGCCTTTCCCCCGTTTTCAACCACCCCCACCCTCTCCTCCTCCTCCCTTTTCTAGTTTTCGACCACTCCTACCCCCTCGCCATCACCTCCACCCCAGTCCTGCCCAAATACTCCATCTAACGGCGGCACAGCCACTACTTACTCAACTCCAATCCAACGGACAAGTTCCCAATTCTTCAATTCGAAGACAAAATTGTTGAAATAGTCAAGAATAAACTCGTCATTGTCATAATCGGAAAAACTAGTTCCGGCAAAAGTACCCAACCTTCCCAAATCCTCTTCTTCCGACATGGTTTTGCCGAATTCGGCACCATTTGCGTCACACAACCTCGCCGTGACGCCACCATCTCCATCGCACGTTGCGTCGCCCAAGAAACGGGGGTCCGACTTGGGGAAGAAGTTGGGTACGCAATTCGATTCGAAGATCGAACTTCAACAAAACCCCCTCGAATTGAAAACCAGAACCCTTCCCTTCCTTTCCTCAATTGATCTGAGAAAGTTCGTTATTGATGTTGTTGTTTGAGGTCACGAATTGCGGATCGATTGAGGGTTTGTGTTGGATTCGACGGGGTGGAGGCAGTTTCAAGTGGGGTTGGGTTGGTTTTGGGATGCGTGACGGTGGCTATAAAGGAGTTTTGTGGTGGGTTGAGGTGGTGCGGTGGTTGGGTGGTGGAGAAGATGACGGCAAGTCGGCAATGCTGGTGGTGCATGCATAGAAAAAAAAAGAAAAAAAAAATTAAAGGTCATGTGACCGGAACGTGGGTGGTCAACGTCGGAAAAGTGAGTCAACGGCTAGATTCCGGCAAGTGGTAGTCCCTTACAACATTTTTTTTAAATAGATAGTCATTTACAACAATTTTTTTAAAAGGTAGTTTTTCACAAAAAGTTGTATATAAAAGGTAGTTTTTCACAAAAAATCCATTTATTTATTTATTTATTAATTTCCAAGAGCTTGTTGTATACTTGTAAATATATTCTCTTGAAAATTATGAATATTAAAAAATATATGTAAAAAAAATTATGAATTTGAGAATTTATTATAAAATTAAACGTTTATTGTTTTTAATAATGCCTGATAATTTTCAATCTTTTCTTTGTCCCAGGTCATTACATACACAAAATTCAAAATTTACATATCATTTCACTCAGTATAATCTGCCTATATTATTATCTGTTTATTTGATTGAGAAAGCAGTTTTATTTTCCTACGATCCTTAACTATTGAAAAATGTGTTACATCATCATGCATTGTAAATTTAATTTTCTACTACATACTAATTTTATTTCTTTCAACATGACATAATCTTTATTATTGTTTCTTAGGATAAACTGGTATACTTTGTTCATATCTGAAGAAATTGCTTGGATCAACCTTGGCCTTGACTTGCAACAATCTCTTCAAATTATCCTTAAAATAGTCCAAGGCAAAAACCAAACTTCCATCCTTGTTCGTCCCAATATCGATGTCCCTATAGTTTAAGAACGCTTCCCTCGGGTTCTTAGACACAAAAGGAGTAAATGTATCATGTAGTTCTCGAGCTATTTGGAGATTCCTATTAGTAGCCTCTCAACACTATCATCTTGCCAAAATATTAGGTATAAAAATAAATTTTATATAAACCGTGCATCGCACGGGTTCTAACCTAGTTCATTCTAATTCATAATATGGAGTATAAATTATAATGTTTCATTGTTTATTAAAAAAAAGAAAGTATTTTTAAATGTTTTGCTATAAGGAATATAGGACATATAAGATTGAAATGATTATGATGATAGCTAATTAGCTAAGAGTGTATGAATGTGTTCATGACATGTAACTAAACAATGTGGAAATAAGGTAACTTATCTTGTACATAGACTATAGTTACTACGTGAGTTTTTGAGTTTAGCCGGTTTGTGTGTTGTAGTATTTTATCTATGCAAAACATAATCTAAACTAGGGATTTTTTTTTCCTCGTAAATTAGGGAATTCTCTATATTATTTTTCTATTAATTTTTTATATACAAAATGAATTATAAATATGCAAAACATATCATAAATGCTCTAGAGTTTTCCCGGCAAAAACATGTACTACGTATAATTATGGATGACTCTATGCTGGATTGCTGGAAATAAGGAACCTTAGAAAGGAAGAGAGAATATTTTTGGAGGGAATACTACAATTTTAGTTTTTCAACACAACATTGACTTGATTAATTAATTCATTAGATGGGGACAAGTTCAGTTTAAGAATATCCTAATATTTCTGTTTTTATTTAAAAAGCTATATAGAGTATCTACCAAGGTAGGTTCCTTAATAAACAACCTGACACTCTGCCTAGTAGGTACTTCTATTTCCAGATTAAATTAAAATCTTTTGAATTGATTTTTTATTCATTTTTATTAATGATTAATTTGAACTACTTAGTACGGAATATTATTTTAACTAGCTAAAATCATTGTGAATGATTAATTAATTTATTTGGGTGAATTAAAGGGGTGGTACTAAATATCTGAAATCAAAGTTCACCTATATCATTTGCCTTGTAACTACTCTCTTGACAAAACCTAAAAAAACCTGGCTAAAATAATTATAGCGTGTTTTGTGTGTAGTTGGTCACATGCTTGTAAATTAACAAAGAAACCCATGTAACACTGATCGAGTAAATCCTATAACACTGACTAGAAAAATCCATGTAACGCTAACCAAGTATCCCCTATAACACTAATAAACTAGCGTCTTGCTCAATGACAGAATGATCACATAAGCTACACATAAGTATTTGTGAAATCATTTTAGATTATTTAAATTTAATTTAGTACATAATAGCTTATCCAGAATTATTTTTTTATGAGTTGAACAAAACAAAACTTTAATGATAAACAAAAACTTAAGCTCATATATCTTTCAAATAAAAAACTTATGCTTATCCATAAGTCAAGTTACACAGCATGGATGAAATTTTATAATTTCTTAATGCCACTATACAGAACAATCTAAGCTCTACACAAGCAAAATAAAATAAAAATAAATAATTGTCAATTTGGGAGAAAATACTATCCTATGTATTCTACAAATGGAAGCTAAAGATGCTCTTCCATTCCAAACAAAGAGGATTTTTTTTTTTTTTGAAAACAAACAAAGAGGAATTTAGTTCACGTTTTTACTAATTTCAAACCAAACATTACTCCATTCCGTCCCTTAATTAGATTCCTACTTTTAGTATTTATTCCTCACATAATAGAGAGAAGTAAAAATCTAATTAAGGGACGAAGGGAGTACAATCTATAGTTATTTTGTTATTTTGCTTGGAATCGCTAATATGTTTCTGGTGTTACGTACTTACACTTGTATTAGGTGGTGATGTTGCATGCTCTTTAATTTGGCCATACTTAGTGCTGTTATAGCCATTTTTTCCCTAAATAATATGGCCAATGGAACCCTAATTTAGTCCTAACATAATCGAATGCAAGTCGGTACTTATGAAGTAATTTATTTAATCGACTGTTTTTCATTGTGCGTTGTTGACTTAGGACGTTTACATGAATGTATAATTTTGACTATGAGTAACTTATATTGTTAACCTTCTTTTTTTTTTTTTTTTTTTTTTTACAAGCTCAACGATGAATATCTAATTAATCAAAGAAGGTCAAAGAGAATTTGTGAACTGTAGCCAAAATAAATATGGTATTATGGTGCAACTGGAAGTAGTTTTGTGGTTAATTTTTGGGCTAGTTTGGTCATTATGGGCTGTGTTAAGCATTATGGGCTGCACAATATGTGTGGATTATCTGGGCCGTATATATATAGCAGCTGGACATAATGTTGCAAATTGGACTTGCTTACATAAGTATAAACCCATGCTTGCTAAAAAAAAAAAAAAAAAAACATGCTTACTCATTATCAAGACACATGAACATTAGAATTGCAATTAGTCTTTAAATAGGTGTAACAACGTAGCTCAAAAGCCTAATTACACATAACCCAATTAACAAAAGCCCTAAAACTAAAAAACACGAAAACTGCAATACACCCACCCACACCCAATAAACCCACCCACACCTAATAAATGTAACGTCATTTCCAAACTCAAAAATCTTCTTCTTCTATATGATTTTCTCTCTCCTCTTTTTCACTTTCTCTCTCCTCTATTTCATTCTTTCACTAAAAAACTGCAAAAACTTCAATGGACATTAGGAAAGAGATGCAAAATCAAAAGGATCCTCCCCAAAAAGGCAATTTTATGTAAATTTCACTTAATTTTATTTGAATTTATATGATTATCACTTAATTTTATTTGAATATTGTTCGAAATTTATTACTGGAATTGTCAAAAAAATTAGTGAAATCAAACGGATATTTTATGTTCACATTTCGAAATGCATATGTTTATATTTTGAATTCTTATGTTCATATTTTGAATCCATTTGTAAACTTTCTGAAATGCTTATATTCACTTTCTAAATTCATATGTTCATATTTTTTTATGTATATGTTCACCTTCTGAAATGCTTAATTATGTTCATACGCATTCAAAAATAAACCAATGCATATGTTCATATTTTGAATTCATATGTTCATATTTTTAATACTTATGAATTATGATGCATATGTTTCATAATCATATTATTTTTATTTCTTCAATTTTTTATGTTCATAATAAAATGCCTTATATTCATAATAATATTTTATATGTTCATAATGTAAATATTCATAGTAAATATTTGGTGTTCTCATTAAGTCTGTTTATGCATATCTTCTCTCTCTTAAATGCATATGATCATATTTTTTACGCATATGTTCACCTTTTAAATGGTTATATTCACTTTAAGGAAACCAATGCTTACGTTCATATTTTGAATTGTTATGTTTACTTTCTTAAATGCATATGTTCATATGTTTTATGCTTATGTTCACTTTCTGAAAAGCTAATGTTCACATTTAAGGGAACCTATGCATATGTTCATATTTTGCATGATTATGTTCACTGATAAAAAAATGCATAAAATCAAATGAAATTCATACACAAATGAAATTGATCAAAGCTAAAAAAAAATTCATATGAATTCAAAAAATCAAATAAACAACCAATTCCATATTGTAAGTAACATATTCAATCGTTAAATCGAAAAAACGAGAAAAATAGAAAAAAAAAAAAAAACAGAGGAAAAAGGAATTAAAGAAGGAAGGAGAAAAAATAGAGTATAATTTGTAAATTCAAATTCATATATACCTTAATCAATCGAAATTAAGGCACAAAATCAAAATTCACACAAAAATTCATACTTAATAACTACTTTCATGTTGTAA